AATGGATACATATATGCAACTTCCAATACACGTGTTTCAACCCTAAAAAATTAGTATATCCACGCCTTTCACTTCAATATTTTTTGCTTATATTTGAAGCAAATTTTCCCCAAAGTAACCATCATTAATGCTCTACTTTAACATCACATCAAACCTATATCTATCATATTTTTCAATAAAGATAGAAACCAAATTTAAATAATATAATATTAATTTTTTTTCAATCTAAAAAATTTATTTCATTCCCCTATAAGATTACTAAAATACAATTTTAAATTAATTTCAGGTACAATATTCTATTTGGATTCATATATTTAAAAAAAAAATTATTATGTAATTGCAATTTTTATAAATTCATTCTGTATATTGACAATATTTTTTCTTAATACTGTTTTTTTCTTACATTGACAATATTTTTTCTTACCTATTTATACTACTAAAAAATATTACCGTTATTTTATTGTTGTTGCAATCTTATCATTCCAAAATGAAATCAATATCCTGAAATCAAATTAATTATTATTGTATTTTTTTTGCCAAATATTATCGTTGCTTGATTTTCTTTAAATGACAAATTGAATTTTTTAAATAATAAATATGAACCACTTAAATTGAATTTTTGCCAAGCCTTCTACAATTCTCTCTCAAACAAAGGTACGTTTTTAACAGATTTATACATTTTCACCATTTTTTTCTTTATCTTTTTTTTGCCAATCCTTCTACAATTCTCTCTCAAACAAAGGTAAGTTTTTAACAGATTTATACATTTTCACCATTTTTTTTTTATCTTTTTTTTTTCAAGTTATTAGGTTTGCAATTTTATAGTCATCTAAATTTGCAGTTACATTAATTTTTGAATTTTTTTCTAGTGAAAATGAGTAGAAAGGTTGATTCTGTGAAAGACATCAATGACTCAAAAGAAACTTGGCGTCTTGTTGTTCGAATAATGGATGTTTGGAGTGTTGTGAATAATAAGGGTATTGAACATTTGGAGATGATTGTTATGGATTCCTTGGTAAATTGCTTTTCTTTTTTTAAGTATAGATTTTTGTATGATAGTTAGTAATTACAACAAAATGTTTTTTTGTATAACATATAAAAAGAAGATTATTTTTATTTTGTTAGGGTGATCGGATTCAGGTCCTTATTCGTCATGACCATTTACTGAAATGGAAAGAGGTCATTAATGAGAATATGACCTGCATTATAAACAATGGCAGTGTCTATAACAATGATTTTTAGTGGAAGGTATGTGATCATTCAAAAAAATTTGTGTTTCTTGGTGGTACCACAATGAAGGCAATCGAACTTCAAAATATTCCACCTAAAGGATATTTCTTTAAAGATTTTGGTGAGATACTTCAAGGCAAATGCAAAACCGATAGACTGGAAGGTAATTTAAATTCTATTATAACTTATATATTTGCAAACACATTCAATAATGAACCTTACTTTAATGTAGATATTATTGGTGCTGTTAGTGAGATAAACCATATCCAATCCAACACTCCGGGGAAGAAAGTTGTTGTTTCTGTTGTGCTGAAAGATTTGAAGTAATGCGCATTGTTTTCATAACTTATGTGTTTGATAAATTTATATATTTTGCATCACTGAATCCCATCATATAATATTGTTTATTTATATTGCAAAATAGGGGTAATTGCATAAATTGCAATTTATGGGAAATCTATGGATCAAAATTTTTGGCTTACTACAATGATCCTTAAAACAATGGAGCTATTGTAATTCTGCTCACTCATGCAATGGTAAAAGATGGCCAAGGTATTACACTATCAAACTTTATAAATACATAGCTGATTTGTATTTTTCATTATACATTCAATAATTTTTATATTAATTATACAATTTACAGTGTCAAATGCATGGAGTGGTTCCAAATTGTTGATAAATGAAGACATCCCTGAAATTCAAGATTTTATGTCTAAGTATGGATTTTATTTATTTATTTATATTCAGATTATTATACATAATTTTTAATTTAAAAAACAATCTTATTTCTATAGGTTGCCTACTAATGAACAGAAGGAGAAGCCTACTCAATCTGCAAAATCTCTTTCTAATTGGTCTGGTGGTTCTCAGTATGCGCCAGTAGAAAGGTTTGTTCATAATGCGAAATGTATGTCCTTAAGTCAGTTCTGCAAAATCAAACATGTAAGTTGAATACTATAGATCCGAATTTATCTTTACTATTACAATTATATTGTTTGCTTTTTGAAATTAATATCATTTTTTATTTGCTTTTAGGAAACTTTATGTGTTACTGTAACAACCACATTGAAATTTGTTGTCTCAAAGTATGGATGGTTTTATTATGGCTGCACAAAGCGTTCTTCGAAGGCACCTAATCCTGAAAAAGCTTATGAATGTTCATGTGGGCAAAAAGTCGAACAGCCCATACCAAGGTACATATAATCTAGATGAATTGCAAATAAATTTGGTAATGGATTTGTTATTAATCATATTATTTTCTTCGTTTAAAATACTATAGGTACAAGATTGAGATATATGTTAGCAATGGTGAATCAAAATATCGATTTGTATTCTGGGATTCCGAATGTGCTGCTATACTTGGAATGACTGCTGAATTTATGCGTAACTCTATGGTGGAGGTACATTGTTATACATAAGTTAAAATGTTAATAGTTATCGAGTTGTAAAGTTCAGATTATCACTCATGATTGATATTTTATTTTTCCATTAGAATGGAGAAGATGATCCAATGGTTTATCCTGATGAGCTTGAAATGCTGTTGAATAAGAAAATGGTTTTTAGAGTTAAGGTGCAGCCAACGTTTTCCCAAGCGTCTGTTTGGAGGTTTTGTGATGATGAAGCCTTTGTTAAAGAGATTGAAAATGACTACATAGTGGAAGAGGTATAATATTCACTTAATTCATGCATTATTTAAACATTTAACAAGTATAATAACTATTCGATGTTTCAATGTGCAGAATCAGTCTAAAACTGAATATGCAAAGGTGGTCCCTAACAAGGAAAATTTGGAAACTTCTGCAGTAAGTATCTTCATTTGTTAACATAATAATTTGCTATGATAAATATTGTATTATTATAATTCATTTTATATCTGACAATTAATTTTTTATATTGCAAGCAAACATTATCTGCATCTGGTGAAAATGATCCAGAATCAATCATTCTAATGACTCTGGCTAAGGATGTTGTAATTACTGACAAGGGTGAAGAAGTTGATTTTGAAGCGTCTGACGCTACGCAATTATCAGGCACCAGACCATCCAAGAAAGTAAAGATAGAACCTTCTTAATTAGAATTTTCGGAAATTTGATATTGAAATATCTTTTATGAACTTTTTAGCACCAGAATGAGTTTAAGTATGAAGTTGTTAAGAACATGATATGTTTTGGTTGTAGGATGTGTTCTTACTTTTTTGAAGTGTTTATTTTGTGAGATTACAATTGACATTTATATTTCATGTATGGTTTAAAGGATGATAATGAATATTTAATTCATGTGTGTGAAATTATTCAAAATCCTATGTTGTTATGTTGAACATTGTGTTTTGTGTGTTCTTTCCACTATAAAATTTATATGAGTATCATATCTTCAAATATTAATAAGTATTTTAGATTGATAACAAAATACGTTCTCATCTTATAAAATATGTGTATACGACTAAATTATAGATAGATTATTGCATATCATGTTTGGTTTCAGCATACCTAATGGTGTTAGAAATTAAAAAAACAATTACATAAAAATTTATTATGAAATCCTTCAAAACTAATTATAGAAAGAAAAAACACACACACACACACACATATATATATATATATATATATATATATATATATATATATATATATATATATATATATATATATATATATATATATATATATATATATATATATATATATATATATATATATATATATATATAACAAATTATATTACTATAAATTAATAATGTTTTACTTTATTATGTCCCAAACTGGAAAAAGTTATTTGTGGAAATTTTTTAAACCCATTTATTGATCATTTAACATCCATTACATTAAAAAAAAATTCTTATACAATAAATTTGTGTACGTTGATCCAAATATATATATATATATATATATATATATATATATATATATATATATATATATATATATATATATATATATATATATATATATATAACAAACAAAAGAATATATTATATTTTAATTTCATTAAAATAAATTATTGCACTTGCGCAACCCGTACTAGTAGTAATAAAATTCATTCAATTTAATAGGGCTATGAGTGAATTCAATCATAGACATGTGTATCTGTATAAAAAACTAATTAGTGTACACTTTAAAAGTTGAAAAAAATCTTATTAAAAACGAGAGAGAAAAACTAAAAAAATTCTAATTAAAGCCAAAAAAATGACGTATGTTTGGTGTTTGTGGCAGATGAAAGATAACATTATGTTTAACAATTCTATTATCTCTGTTGATGATATAGTGTCAAACATTAAATTAATCTTTTGACTTTAACTTGTTATATGAATGTCTCAAAAGAAAATTAGTTACTACGAATGATATAAAAGTTTTTGTAACTTTATTTATGTGTAATTGTTCGGGTTTGAATACTCTTGTCCTTGTTTTATATTATGCATTTTGATAATAAAAATAAATAAATTAAAGATAGCTTTAATTTAAAACAATTAATATAAAGAATAGCAAAGTAGTATTAAAAGAACAAAAGGGTTATGTTTTGGCTAAAGTTTGTAACTTTTGGGAACATAAAAGGGGCAGAAAAGTAATTTAGAAAAAGTAGGAGGGTCGGGCAATAAGTAACAAGAAACAAATAGCGAAGCAAACGTAAAAGAAATCTCTTGTGTGCCCATTCAACAAACAGTACCTTCTTCTTTCCTTCCGTTTCAGTCTTTTCTTCTCTCTCTCTCTCTAAAACTCAACGACATTCACTCTCTCTCTCTCTAACAAAAATCTAAAAATTATAGTGAGTGAAAGATGTCAGGGAAAGGGGCGAAGGGGTTAATCACTTCTGCCAAAACCTCAGCGGCGAACAAAGACAAGGACAAGAAAAAACCCACTTCTCGTTCTTCTCGTGCCGGTCTTCAGGTCCTTTCTCTCTCTTAGATCTCCAATTTCTTTTACCTATTTTCCTTTCCCTAGCCTTTACAAAATCCTTATATTCATAATGTTTCTTTTTGTTTAAGGGTTATTCTTGTATTAGTGCAATGATTTTGGTTTTAGTCGGTTTAAAATTGTGATATTATTTAGATCATTTATGTGCATTTCTGTTGTTCATAACTATTAGATCCATAAATTTTAACATCTCATAAGAAAATGCACTAATGGTTAAACAATATATGGATAACGACTCTATTTGTTTTTCATGATTAAATTATTATTAATCTACTTAACCTTGAAAAAATTGAGACGACTCTGCAATTCATTATTGATATTAAGTAAGAAAATGATAAAATGAGGTATAACACAATGTGCAGTTCCCAGTTGGGCGTATCCACAGGCTACTAAAGACAAGGACAACAGCTCACGGTAGAGTTGGAGCCACAGCCGCGGTATACTCGGCTGCTATCTTGGAGTATCTTACTGCTGAAGTATTGGAACTTGCGGGAAATGCTAGCAAGGATCTCAAGGTTAAGCGTATTACTCCTAGGCATTTACAGCTTGCAATCCGCGGTGATGAAGAGCTTGATACTCTTATTAAAGGAACAATTGCTGGTGGAGGAGTTATTCCTCATATTCACAAGTCTCTCATCAACAAGTCTTCTAAAGAGTAGTAGATTACCGTAACTGATTGATGAGGGGAATTGTGTTTATTTGGTAATGTGAATCTGTGTTATGCTTTGTGGTTATGTTCATGTTGTTGATCATGGATATATATACTTGATCTTGGTCGTCATCAATTTAGTTTGTCTGTCACACAAAAATGTTTAACAGAGGGTAATGTCATTTTCTTTTATTTTTAATTAAACTGTGTTGCATTTAAATATATAGGAAATGTTGTACAGCAAAAACTCGTGGTTCTTCTGCATTCTAAGAGAGACTCAAGATACCTTAAACAAGTGGCCAAGGGTTCAGCCTTAGACTCTTGCATACAGAGAAAATTTGGTTAGGAAAGGAGAACTTACATTGTGTGTCCTACATGTTTTTTTAAGTAGAAACCGATTATTCTCTGTGCATAATTGTAGAGATCAATACCTCGAGTCGAGTAGGACCACAGTTGGTGGCAGAGCACTCTTGCAAGATAGTTTGACACTTTTGTTAATACAAAAGTAAATGTAGGCACAAATACAAATCTAAACTCTTTGGGCAACTCACAAAACTACTAATAGTTTAATTATTTTAATAGTAATAACAAATGTTCATCTTTTTTTTTCTTTCTATTATGTGTACGTGCATAATTAATTTTTATTTGTGGTTGTGACCACCACACATGTCTTGATCCAAAAAGTATACTGATACCTTCTTGGCGACGGTTTCTGCTTGAAAAAAATTGATTTTGTAAATTTGATTTTGATTAAAAGTGATTTATATTTGAATAATTTTATATAAATTCTAATTTTAAGTTGAATCAATTTTGTAAAACGGGCAAACATCTCAAAATCACTCTACATTTATATAATTGTTTTGCCTCTTTTAAAAGTTAAATCAAAGTTAAATAAAACATATACGTAGTGTTGTGGTGAGGATAATTGGTTTTGAATTAATTGATTTTATATATAAAATCATGTAAAAATTTAATATCTATAAATTGTAGTTTTAAGTAGAATTAATTTTGAAGGCAAAACCAATTCTACTTAAAAATAATTAAACACTTGAAAAACATTCTGGAATCAATACTACAATTTAAAATTGCTTGTCTAAACACGCACTTAATGTGTTTTGGTGGTCTAAGAGCTTCCTACCATGACTTTTCTAAACCAGTGGTGCCGTGACTTTTGAGAATTTCAAACATAGATTTAGCATGGGTTTGGTTCCATGATAAAGACAAATTATAATGACTCGGATGTAGAGTGATTTGTATCTGAATAAATGTATATTGTATTATAAATTTTGATGTAAAAGTCACGTTTAAATTTGAAGTATAATTAATTTTAAAGACATAAACGATTCTACATCAAAAGAACCAATAACTTTAAAATCATTTCAAAACAAATTTTATACCTCTAAAATTATTTTTGCCTCTTCTAAAAGTTAAACCGAAAATACATTTAATTCAGTAGAAAGTAACCATAAAGAGACCCCTCCACACGGTTACCACCGGTAGTGTATTAGCATCATCACAAACAATGCAACATGAACATAAGAGTTTAGCTAGAGTATTTCTAGCTCAAATCAATGGCTTTCCTGTTCTGTCCATGTTGGTGCTTTCACAGGAGAGGTGAAGTAATTCTCAAGGACTATAATACAATGAAAATTTTCCAATGAACAAATTTGACTTGATTTAAATTAAAAGTTGAAAAGAAGTTAGACAAGGGTGGGAATAATGTAAATTCATAATGTAATGACCAACATTTCAAGGCATCTACTGTTAATCAAGTGGGAAAACACTTTTCAATGCTGATCATTTTTATGGAATTTCCATTTCAATAGAAAGAATTTGTAAAGCTAATGCATAGCTGCAATGGTACCAAGCAAATCATGGATTACAATTCAGATGCAATAATACACATAACTACCACCACAGGGCAATAAATTTAAGCAAAACTCAGCACACCAAAGCTCGTGACCAGACCTCGACTAAATCGAATTAACAAAACCTAACCTTCAAACAATCGCCAACACTCACCCACTTCCGCCAGTTCAACGGCTAATCAACCACCTAATGTTGATACATACAAAAAATAATAATTTGAAACTGCATCATTTAGATGGCAGAAATTCTTGGAACATCAACCGGAAACTGGTGGATTTCATCGATCCAAGGGTTCTTCTCTTTTGCAGGATTGATTGTCCTGAGAGCCTTCCATACTGCACTGTTGCACTTGAATCCAGAACCAAATGCTATTTGCCATGTTCTATCTCCTTTCTTTATCCTTCCCTTGGCTTCTGTGTAAGCCAATTCGTACCAAAGGGAACTGCTCGACGTGTTTCCAAAACGATAGAGTGTCATTCTTGATGGCTCCATATGCCATGTAGACAGTTTCAGGTTTTTCTCCAGCTCATCCAAAACAGCTCTTCCACCCGCATGAATGCAGAAATGTTCGAAAGCTAGCTTGAAATCTGGAATATAAGGCTTGATCTTCATCTTGAAGAGTTTCTTTCCAACTAACGTGCCAAAGAACAGCAACTGTTCGGATGTTGGAAGGACAAGAGGTCCGAGGGTGGTGATGTTTGTTTTCAAAGCATCGCCTGCAACTGCCATAAGATCTTTTGATAAAGTTACACCAACTTTGCCATTGTCATCTTCTTCTTGCGTGACGCAGCTGAAGCACTTGTCATCAGCACCCTTGTTAGTGCGAACAGTGTGAACCAATCGGTATTTAGATCTTCTCCTATCAGACCACTTGTTAGAAAGTAAAATTGCAGCCCCTCCCATACGGAACAGACAATTCGAAACAAGCTTGGACCGATCATTCCCAGGATACCAATTCAGCGTGATGTTCTCCATGCTAACAACCAATGCATACGAGTTAGGATGAACTTGGAGAAGTTCTTCCGCAAGATCAATTGAAATAATCCCTGCACTGCATCCCATCCCACCAAGATTGTAACTCTTTATATTACCTCTAAGCTTATAGTGATTTATGATCATCGCAGAAAGCGACGGAGTTGGACAAAAGAGACTACAATTAACAATCAGAATCCCAATATCCTTCGGCTTAACAGATGTCTTCGAAATGAGCTCATCGATGGCGCCAAACATGACGGCCTCAGCTTCTTTCCTAGCTTCCTTCATGGAAGGGTTAGGAGGAATGCTGAGAACAGCTTCAGGAAGGTAAGTGTTCTCTCCCAGTCCAGATCTCTCAAGAATCTTCCGCTGGAAGTCAAGGTTTTCCTCTGTGAAGAAACCACTGGCCCTGGAGTGATCCATAAATATTCTTTTTGTGCATTTGCGCGACTCCTCGGGCTTGTAACACGAAAAGTCCACAAGGTAAACCGGCCTAGGCCGAGTCATAACATATAGAGTTGATAAAAATACAAGCAGTGTGGAACAAATAATGACAGACACGAGATTGTATTGCAGATTTTCCCAAATATCATAGATATCTTTGAGCGAGAAAGTTGATAACTGAGCAGCAATTAACACGACGAGTGGCGAAAGAAAGAGGTACATTCCATGAGTGATTAGGTAATGATAGCCGAGCTTCACATACTTCAATTTCACAGATTTTTTGAAGTCGGGAAGGATCCGCGACGAAGGCACCAACAACGGTGTTTCTGCTTTTGATTCTTCTGTCATTTTACCCCGCTGCACAAAATTTCAACGAATCTAGTTACCTAAAATCTTTCAAGACCAGATTTACAATCTAAATCCCTCTATTAACTTAATCGTTTCAGAAAAACAGAAATAAAAAATTGATAGGCAATTGGAATAACAGAGTTAGGGAAAAAAGAATGTACCTGGAAAAGCCAAAACCAGCAGAGAGAAGACAGAAATGTGGGTTGTGATTAAAAATGGAATAGCCGAAAATATAATCGGGTATTATGAGAAGAGTATAGGGCGGGGCTTAGATCAAATCGAAATCACATGTGGATCCATTCATTCATTAATAATAAATAAATAAAAACAAAATAAGGGTTGCGATGTGAGAGAGGGAAAGTGAGAAGGAAACAAGTAGTATAATGTGAAAGTGGCCATAATTTGGGACGCGGAGTTCCTTATTTATTAACGGGCGGCGCTGGCCTGGTTTGACCGTTTGCATCATAGCCCTTCATTTTTTGTTGAATCCGGCGGTTTGTGTTCATTCTCTTTCCTCCGTCCAATCTCATGTGCTTACTTTTTTACTGTTTATTTATTTATATTTTTAATTAATTTTTGTGTGTGTACAGTTGTCACATATGGGGAATCTTTTTCTTTTAATTTTATTGTTGGACTTTTTGAAAATGCGTTAGAATTTTTTTAATAATTTGTTAGAATTTTTTATGGAATCAATGAAAAGGAAATTCACCTTAAGAATAAAATTACATACTTGTCAATAATATATACTTTGTCCGAGGGATAGAATTTTATGAAATTTTTGAATTTTTACACTTATTTAGTGATGGAATGCATTGAGAGCTTGAGAGTTAAAAAATTTAAGTAATTTGTATGCGGATCAATGAGGAAATAAATATTCAGAAATATTTCAAATTTATCAAACATTAAAAAGGGAGATTCGGAAAATATAATTTGATCGGTGTATTTTGACGTTTTATCATATTTTTCAATATTTTTGAATTAATATCTGGTGTAATTTTGAGTTGATCTTTTTATTGTAATTTTATTTTTATCATTAATCATGGTATTATATTTTGAGTTATCTCTTACACTCACTTAAGTAGAAACTATTAAAATGTTTTTTTTTTAATTTGATCAAAGTGGTCAAAAGTCAATTGTTGTTAGATTTTTTTTATGTGCAAGTATACACAATAGCGTGACAGCAAATGATAAAAATAAGAGTATTATTCTACAGAGATTGTATTAACTTAAATTGATTTTAAACTCAAAAATTGTGAATAGTCATAAACAGAGAATACTAATGCATGTAGTTCTCACAAATTCAAAATGAGTATAAATGAATTAAAGGTAAGGAAGCTTTATCAAATGTGAAAAAATGTTGAACAAAGATCCATTTAATGAGTTTCACTTAAAGTATTAGTGTGATGAAATCAATCGTGACATACGAGATCAGAGCCTGACTTAGCGGTGTATGCCTATAACGTCAAAGTAGATGCAACAAATATTTATGTAACAAATTTCTAAGTCTCACGATAGCATAAATGGTAAGACGGAAGACACAACAGAGACTGATTCAGGTACCCTTCCTTCTTATTGAAATATTTTTTCTAAGTAATTTCTCAAAGTTTGGACCGCTTCTCCAATTCCAATGCAGCTCCTTCTATATGCTTCTTCGACCCTAAACCATAAACCTTAAACCTGGTATTAGGGTTAACTTCAGACCTTGGACAGGGGCCTCTTGGTAATTTGTTGACGTGACCCAATGAATAGGGTGTATTCTCTTTCTTATCCAATAGCACATGCATTGGGTTGGTACCCAGGGCCTACATGAGACAACACGTCTCACAACAGGCCTGCTTTGCAGGGTAGCTCCTTCAGCGCCTCAATAAAGGGCATGTTATGAGTTGAACACTACCCTATCCTAATAATTCGAATGCATAGTCAGATTAATTAAACACTACCCTATCCTGGGTCAAACGTAAGGGTTTGTAGATTCGAAGGAAACACCTACTTTTAGGCTCAAAGGGGTTAACTACGGAAACACCTGCTTAAATGCACCCCACGTGGAAGATAATATTGAGGCAACTAAAACATTTTATAAGCAATTATTTAGAATCAGTTATGAGTTGGTTAAAGAGAATGATACACTTACATAACTTAAATCTTAAGGAGTCTTTAAAATCTTTCGAGGAAAGCAATAATTCATTCAAGATAGAAATAACTAAAATTAGAATTTCAAGAGAAACTTGTGAGACTTGTGTCTCCCTGAAAAAAAGGAGTAGTTTATTTGCATGAAACCCTAACTAAGCTTACCCAAGGGAAATAAAATCTTGACTTGATCCTATTAAGTCTAAGGACTTCATTAAATAAGAATGGACTAGGATTCAAAAAGGATAGAAAACCTAGTAAAGACATAGATCACAAGAAAAATGATCACCAATCTATAAATGCACACAGTGCATAAGAGTTGGGCATTTATACACCCTTTGATTTAACAAATTAAAAAATCTAAAGGTAACAAACTTAGATCTTTTGGAAGAACTAATGCAATTGGACTCAAGAAGATTTGGGTACCAAAGGTAAAACCTTAGTGTTTTGCATGTATGCTTTGTAGCTTGAATCTTTAATGACAACCAATAGAGTTGTTCAAAGCACAATTTATACTTCTAAGTATTCAGTATGTATGAAGTCTCTGATTCAAGAATGTACGATGATGACGAATATCAATTACAATGATCAAAACAAGTGTTTTTTAGAATACCTTAAGGTTTGCAATCCTCTGTGATCAGTTGAGTGGATATGTCTGTATTGGACTTATTCGACTTGTTGTTTACTAACTCTTGCATCCAATGATGTGTAGATAAGAACACACCATAATATGCCCGGTGTTCCTCCTTTAAAGGAAGTTTTTATCAAAGCTCTTTGATATGAAATGCAGTACATTATTTTAAGGTCAAAATGATCGAAACACTATGAATAATCCCTCAAAATAGTGGGTTTAATTTCGCTTATCTTGATTAAATATTTTCACTAGCAAAAAAAAATGAGTTTCTAAGTGGTTTATAGAAAAGAGGTGCAAATAAGACTAAATAGAGATGCAGCACAAAAGCCTAAAACTTATAATTTTACCGGAAGCAAATGATTGAATGTTATTTTAAAATAAATGTAAAGTGCTGAATTTTAAAGTCATCAAGAGAATTATATTATTTCCCCTTATCAATCAAAAGTACATCTAAACCTTCTAAATAAAAGATTTTCCACTATGATTAAATTCTTATACAAGTCTTCACCAAAACTTCTTTACAACCATCTAATACATTAAAAAAAAACTCTATGAAAAACTATGAATCTACCTAGTTCAAAGAACCTTTTCAATTATCACAAAACACTATAGTGATCTTAAAAAAAAAAAACAAAAAAAAAACCACTTTATATTAACAAAAACCTTTTCACTAAGATAATTGATGGAAGATACAAATAATTAAACTTTGTTGAAAAATAAAGAATGTAGTATGCCATTGCATGTCAAACTCAATCTTAAAATTATAAATTTTATTTTCTCAATATCTCAATTCAAAGTATATCACATAATTACTCAAATTTTAATTTGGTTTTGAGACTAATTTACGAGTTTCAAACAATTTTAAAAATAATATTTTTTGAAAATAATCTTTGAGTTGTATAAATGATTATTTGTCTGTTTGGGTAAATAGTGAATTAGCACCACCTCATGTTTAGAAGATGCTAAATTATACTCATGAAATTGATTGCGCATAAAATCTAATATCAATAATGCTGCAGAATTGAAAATTTGACTGTTCAAAGTATTTCTTGTAGTTTATTCTGCTTTTTTTATTAATCCATTTAGCCTATGAGTAGTCGCTATCAAATTTGATCAAAAACAAATGTCACGCTCATTATAGTTATTTGCTCTCATAAGTTGAAACAATGGTTGGAGATCATTTATTATACAGGATTGTTATGTTGACACCCATTTCTATACCCTACATTTTATTTACTGTTCACAAATACTTAGACAAATTCCTCATAACATGGTTAATAATGTGTATTTTATTGGTTAATGAAGTAGTGAAAGTGGTTAATAAATTATAGATAAAATAATAGGCTAATAATGTAGATTTTTGTGGTTAATGCAACTATGAAATTAGTTAATGCGCAATCTTATATTTGTGTTATAAAATAAATTTTAAAAATAAATATTTTTTTTAAAAAATAAATATTTTAAAAAATATATATTATTTTAATAAAAAAACACGGTTCACCGTATAAATAGGGTGAACAGTGCATACGGTGTAAATATTGAGTGTAAAAAATATCTAGAAATATCATTTTTCTTTTATTATAAGTGACTATATTAAAATGCTTGGGAGTATGGGCTACACGTTTTTCTTTTGACGCGAGACAACGTGTATGATAAAGTTAGTTTTTATGCCATACTATATTATGTAAGGTCTCCATTTTCAAAAACTCAATATCATAAATTTAAAATTATTATTTCATTAAATTTTGATATCCAACTTTACGATCGATTAATCTAAAAAGATTTTGAGACCTTTAGAAAAATATATTTTAAAGACTTAAGTCTCCGACCAATCATTAGGAGTTAATTAAATCTATTATCTATTATCTATATATTAAAAGCAAAGTATCTCGTAAAAATTACTTATATCTTTTTGAGATCATACTGTAACTTTTCTAGTGAGCTTTGAGTTCGATTTCACGGTGGTGGTCGGAGGTTCTGCGAGATGGTGATACAGTGAAGGTACGTGGGTTTTGTTTGTGAACGGAAAAAGAGCGCAATGGTACGTCAGTCCCTTCGCTGGATTTGGCTGGAAGAGGAAACGGCTCCGGCGGTGAGGGTTTCAATCATTTATCTAAGTCGTTTTTGCCTCTATTTGCTTTCACTTTTTGATCTATCTTTTCCTCTTTGCTTTGGATTGTTGTTGTATTATAATTATTGATGAGTTGTTGGTATATGAATGACGTTGTTAGCATTGTTA